GCCCCACGGAAGTGTTGACCACCAGCTGGGGCCCCACGGAAGTGTTGACCACCAGCTGGGCCCCACGGGAGTGTTGACCACCAGCTGGGGCCCCACGGAAGTGTTGACCACCAGCTGGGGCCCCACGGAAGTGTTGACCACCAGCTGGGGCCCCACGGAAGTGTTGACCACCAGCTGAGGGCCCCACGGAAGTGTTGACCACCAGCTGGGGCCCCACGGAAGTGTTGACCACCAGCTGGGGCCCCACGGAAGTGTTGACCACCAGCTGGGGCCCCACGGAAGTGTTGACCACCAGCTGGGGCCCCACGGAAGTGTTGACCACCAGCTGGGGCCCCACGGAAGTGTTGACCACCAGCTGGGGCCCCACGGAAGTGTTGACCACCAGCTGGGGCCCCACGGAAGTGTTGACCACCAGCTGGGGCCCCACGGAAGTGTTGACCACCAGCTGGGGCCCCACGGAAGTGTTGACCACCAGCTGGGGCCCCACGGAAGTGTTGACCACCAGCTGGGGCCCCACGGAAGTGTTGACCACCAGCTGGGGCCCCACGGAAGTGTTGACCACCAGCTGGGGACCCCACGGAAGTGTTGACCACCAGCTGGGGCCCCACGGAAGTGTTGACCACCAGCTGGGGCCCCACGGAAGTGTTGACCACCAGCTGGGGCCCCACGGAAGTGTTGACCACCAGCTGGGGCCCCACGGAAGTGTTGACCACCAGCTGGGGCCCCACGGAAGTGTTGACCACCAGCTGGGGCCCCACGGAAGTGTTGACCACCAGCTGGGGCCCCACGGAAGTGTTGACCACCAGCTGGGGCCCCACGGAAGTGTTGACCACCAGCTGGGGCCCCACGGAAGTGTTGACCACCAGCTGGGCCCCACGGAAGTGTTGACCACCAGCTGGGGCCCCACGGAAGTGTTGACCACCAGCTGGGGCCCCACGGAAGTGTTGACCACCAGCTGGGGCCCCACGGAAGTGTTGACCACCAGCTGGGCCCCACGAGAGTGTTGACCACCAGCTGGGGCCCCACGGAAGTGTTGACCACCAGCTGGGCCCCACGGAAGTGTTGACCACCAGCTGGGGCCCCACGGAAGTGTTGACCACCAGCTGGGGCCCCACGGGAGTGTTGACCACCAGCTGGGGCCCCACGGGAGTGTTGACCACCAGCGGGGCCCCACGGGAGTGTTGACCACCAGCGGGGCCCCCACGGGAGTGTTGACCACCAGCGGGGCCCCACGGGAGTGTTGACCACCAGCTGGGGCCCCACGGAAGTGTTGACCACCAGCTGGGGCCCCACGGGAGTGTTGACCACCAGCTGGGGCCCCACGGAAGTGTTGACCACCAGCTGGGGCCCCACGGAAGTGTTGACCACCAGCTGGGGCCCCACGGAAGTGTTGACCACCAGCTGGGGCCCCACGGAAGTGTTGACCACCAGCTGGGGCCCCACGGAAGTGTTGACCACCAGCTGGGGCCCCACGGAAGTGTTGACCACCACTGGGGCCCCACGGAAGTGTTGACCACCAGCTGGGGCCCCACGGAAGTGTTGACCACCAGCTGGGGCCCCACGGAAGTGTTGACCACCAGCTGGGGCCCCACGGGAGTGTTGACCACCAGCTGGGGCCCCACGGAAGTGTTGACCACCAGCTGGGCCCCACTGTTGGGCCCCACGGAAGTGTTGACCACCAGCTGGGGCCCCACGGAAGTGTTGACCACCAGCTGGGGCCCCACGGAAGTGTTGACCACCAGCTGGGCCCCACGCCCCACGGAAGTGTTGACCACCAGCTGGGGCCCCACGGAAGTGTTGACCACCAGCTGGGCCCCACGGAAGTGTTGACCACCAGCTGGGGCCCCACGGAAGTGTTGACCACCAGCTGGGGCCCCACGGGAGTGTTGACCACCAGCTGGGGCCCCACGGAAGTGTTGACCACCAGCTGGGGCCCCACGGAGAGTGTTGACCACCAGCTGGGGCCCCACGGAAGTGTTGACCACCAGCGGGGCCCCACGGAAGTGTTGACCACCAGCGGGGCCCCACGGGAGTGTTGACCACCAGCGGGGCCCCACGGGAGTGTTGACCACCAGCTGGGGCCCCACGGGAGTGTTGACCACCAGCTGGGGCCCCACGGGAGTGTTGACCACCAGCTGGGGCCCCACGGAAGTGTTGACCACCAGCTGGGGCCCCACGGAAGTGTTGACCACCAGCTGGGGCCCCACGGAAGTGTTGACCACCAGCGGGGCCGCCACGGAAGTGTTGACCACCAGCGGGGCCGCCACGGAAGTGTTGACCACCAGCTGGGGCCCCACGGAAGTGTTGACCACCAGCGGGGCCACCACGGGAGTGTTGACCACCAGCGGGGCCCCACGGGAGTGTTGACCACCAGCGGGGCCACCACGGGAGTGTTAACCATCTAACTCTTGTAAACATTTACTTATACAAATATATTCTGAGCTCATGGACCACTAAATATAAACAAACGATAAATAAATTCTCCCAAATGATATCGGCTACAAGTAATTATTTGCACAAATAAACTCACGAGCAGCTCCACACTCTCCTCTAATTATCAGTTAATGAACGCCATAAGTTGTTACAAGGACAGAGCTAACATAAGAATACTATACTTTAGTGCAGCAGCAACACCTGTCCCTGTGACGTTCCAGCAGGCACTGACGGCAAGCCTTTGCGTCAGCGCTGAGGCCGTGGCGATTCAGGGCTGCCAATTCTACATGTGATTCAGGACTGCCAACCCTACATGTAATTCACTCAAAATAATCTTATTTATGTAACTGGCCAATCATGCCACTTATTATTAATAATTATTAACTAATATATTAATTAAGATACACAGTGAAGCACAATAATTGTTGACAATGACTTTCTATGCTAAACAAAAATAGTGACCAGCAATGGCAAAGTGAATATAGTATATGAATATAGTATATAAATCTTCAATGGACAAGAAGATTAAGATTGTATAGTTGTATCAGACGATGACATTTAAGACAAACATCAGTCAAAGATATGTACATGTAACAGTACAAAATGACATACATAATGAGCAATGTACTTGATAGTCTTAAAATAACACAACACTTTATGGGGCCAGTCGGCTGAGTGGGCAGCACTCGGTATTCGTAGTCTTAAGTTTTCGGGTTCGATCTTCGGCGGAAGCGGAAACAAATGAGCAGTTTCTTTCGCCCTGACACCTCTGTTACCTAGCAGTAAATAGGTAACTGGGAGTTAGACAGCTGCTACGGGCTGCTTCCTGGGGGATGAGTAACAAAAAGGAGGCCTGGTCGAGGACCGAGCCGCGGAGACGCTAAGCCCCGAAATCATCTCATGGTAACACTAACAGGACAAGCTACTTGAACATAAAGCTTGTCTGTCACTTGAGAGTGGCGAGAAGCAGTACGAGAATGACGTTGTATAGAAGGCTATGTCTGAGCCATAACTGTTTTTGCTCATAATTTACACAACGTTTCTAACCTACGTTTTAGTGACTCATACGTCAGGCTGCGAGCAGCCGCGTCCAACAGCCTGGTTGATCAGTCCGGCAACCAGGAGGCCTGGTCGACGACCGGGCCGCGGGGACGCTAAGCCCCGGAAGCACCTCAAGGTAAGGTAAGGTACAAGGTTCATTCTCAAGTGAGGAGTGACGCGGCATGAGGAAACATCTGCCTTATAACGCTGGAAGGTTAGGTAAACTCATAATAACGTCAGGTGAAGGAAAAGAGGAATGTGAGGTGATAGGCCTATACTCTAGGCATAAAAAGTTGAATCAGGTGATCGGGCAATGAGACCTTAGATGTCTGTAGTGGGCATCAGAAAATTGAGAAACAACGACGTTTCGGTCCGTCATGGACCATTATCAAGTCATATAATGGTAACACCCCCCCCCCTTGACAGTTGTTTCGGAAACGTGACCGAAACGTCACGTTTCTCCATCTTCTGAAGTGTTGTTTGGTCATCATATCTTCAGCCACGTCATTGCGACTCGTCATCTGTACATGTTCAATATAGCATACATTTCGGAGCGCACAGTCTCCTGAGCTGCATTTGTATTGAGTCACTACATCAGTACACCTCAGTTTGTCAGAGGAGGCAGAGATGTTATGTCTCATAATGAGGGAAGATGTACGAAGGTTGTTATAATAAATGACAGGACGAATTCTTGCGTTTTCACTGCAAGGTTTGCAATTGCTCTCAATTATATCTCGAATCACCTTCTCATCCATCTTGTGTGCCTGAGTGAATGTATTTTTATAATGCACTATAATGTCTTCCCCTTGGGGCCGATTATCCTCCCCTGTGGGCAGATTATCTTCCCTGGGGGTAGATTATCTTCCCTGGGGCAGATTATCTTCCCTGGGGCAGATTATCTTCCCTGGGGCAGATTATCTTCCCTGGGGCAGATTATCTTCCCTGGAGCAGATTATCTTCCCTGAGGCAGATTATCTTTTAATAATAATCGTTATCAGATAACGATTTCGTCGAGTTCTGTCTTGCTTTCATCGTTGTTTACAATAATTTGGCGGACTTGTTCATGTTGCAAGAACTGGCAAGAGGAGCAGGCACGTATTGCACGACCGCAGCATGCATTGATGGCGCTCTCCTTATGAGTGCACTCACTCCCACCGTTCATATATACTGTGTGCATTAGTTGCTTTACTCTACATCTGTGATGAGTTTACCTGAGTTACCATCTACGGGGGACATCCAGGAATGACGTTCTGCCTCGAATCGTTGTCTGGACGGTGACCTTAAGCTGTTGTGGGTGTACACATGTCTCACCACTAACACCTGTGTATCCCCCCTTGACAGGTGTACACACTTATCACCTCTAACACCTGTGTATCCCCCTTGACAGGTGTACACATATATCACCACTAACACCTGTGTATCCCCCTTGACAGGTGTACACATGTCTCACCACTAACACCTGTGTATCCCCCCTTGACAGGCGTACATATGTCTCACCACTAACACCTGTGTATCCCCCTTGACAGGTGTACCACATGTGTCTCCATGCCGGCAACGTCCACTCGTTCCTGTGCCCCAATGGGACACTCTTCAACCAGGAGTACTTCGTGTGTGACCTCTGGTTCAATGTGGACTGTGCGCGCGCCACCAGCTTCTACCCCCTCAACCAGTACATCTACAAGGACCCGGAGCTTAAGGATCCCAAGCTTACGTACGTCTGAGGACATCTACAAGGACCCGTAGCTTAAGGAAACTAAGCTTACGTACGTCTGAGGACATCTACAAGGACAACGAGCTTAAGGAAACTAAGCTTACGTACTTCTGAGGACATCTACAAGGACTCCCTATGTTTGATGACTCATATTATCCACATAATCAAATTTTCGAACTTTCCGAAAATTCTAAATTAAACACAACACAAATATGATTTATTAATTAATTTAACTATGTGTTTTTTTTTAAGATTAAATCTATTAGAAATATTCAGTTATAATTTATTTATTTAATCTTTTACGTAGCCAAAAATATCTCAAAATTTAAATGTTTTCCCCAACATTTTGCTGACTTTAAAACTTGTATTCAGTACAAGGTAAGTTAGCTTTGTTGTATGCCTCAGTTGTATTACCTGTGTATGTTTCATATGTGTATATATGTTATTATTATTTATACAAAATCATACAAGGAATAATTAGATTATGCAGGAGTTGTATAATTCTGCATATCTCTCTCTGCTGTTATCTGTATATATGTTCTTAACTCCCAGTCATCTGGTGTATTCACCTAGTTGTATTCACCTAGTTATGCTTGCGGGTCTTGAGCTCTGCTCTTTCGGCCCGCCTCTCAACTGTTTATCAATGAACTGTTACTAACTACTATTGTTTTTTTTTATCACACACACACACACACACACACACACACACACACACACACACACACACACACACACACACACATACACACACACACAGGAAGCAGCCTGTAACAGCTGGCTAACTCCCAGGTACCTATTTACTGCTAGGTAACACGGGCATTAGGGTGTAAGAAACTCTGCCCATTTTTGTTTCTCGCCGGCGCCGGAAATCGAACCTGGGCAACAGGGTTACGTCTCCAGCGTGCTATCCACACAACCACCGGCGCCCCTGTGTGTGTGTGTGTGTGTGTGTGTGTGTGTGTGTGTGTGTGTGTGTGTGTGTGTGTGTGTGTGTGTGTGTGTGTGTACTCACCTAGTTGTACTCACCTAGTTGTGTCTGCAGGAACGAGCATTGACTCGATCACACACATTGTGTGTGTGTGTGTGTGTGTGTGTGTGTGTGTGTGTGTGTGTGTGTGTGTGTGTGTGTGTGTGTGTGTGTGTGTGTGACTGTGTGTCTGTGTGTGTGTGTGTGTGTGTGTGTGTGTGTGTGTGTGTGTGTGTGTGTGTGTGTGTGTGTGTGTGTGTGTGTGTGTGTGTACTATAAAGTTGTACTCACCTAGTTGTGCTTGCGGGGGAGGAACTTTGACTCTTTGGTCCCGCCTCTCAACTGTCAATCAACTGGTGTACAGATTCTTGAGCCTACTGGACTCTTATCAAATTTACATTTGAAACTATGAATGGAATCTGCCTCCACCACATTACTGCCTAATGTATTTCATTTGTTAACTACTCTGACACTGAAAAAGTTCTTTCTAACGTCTCTGTGGCTCATTTGGGTACTAAGCTTCCACCTGTGTGCCCTTGTTCGTGTTCCACCCGTGCTAAATAGTTTGTCTTTGTCCACTCTGTCAATTCCCATGATCATCTGCTACATAATATTGCACAGATGCATATAGAAGCAAACTTGGCATCTGACAGCTTCACTTACTTCACAGATGGATCAGTAGACCAGCAGGGACAAGAAACCGGAGCTGCAGTTAAAGCAGGAAACACTAAAATAGTTGGAGACTCTCAAATGGGTGTTCGACTTTACAAACAGAGATGCTAGCCATTCAAAAGGCTTTGGAAAATGCTCTTGCTGAACACCGACAACATGTTATCATACATACAGATTCGAGAACAGCCATTGAAACCTTGCAACGAGAACACATATGTGATAACGTCCATCTGATCACAAATGTCATATCATTAATGCAAACCACTCAAACGTAAAGGCCGACGGGTACTTATGAACTGGGTGCCAAGTCTTGTGGGAATAATAGGAAATGACATTGCAGACGAAGCTGCAAAACTTGCAACTAAGAGAAGAAATGTAGACATTTACATACCACAGAGATTAAGAAAGTAATTAGAAACAGAACAATACAAAAGATGTACGGTGACCACAACACAGCAGTTGCAACATCAGGATCTGCGGGTTGGTACAAGAATTCAACCATCTATGAACCACTTATGTTGATGAGAGGGAGCAGTAGAACAACAGAAGTACACTTACATCGCATCAGGCTTGGATACACATGTGCATGGGAAATAGGCTTACAGGTTCAGGAAGATGAGAGGAAATGTCAGCACTGTGGAGAAATGCCCGACAGACCACTGGAACATTATCTAACACAGTGCACAGTTACAAACCCATTAAGATTTCAACTTAGATTCAACAGAGCAGAAAAAGTTGTTAAACACATGGGACAAAATCTTACTGAAGCGACCATACGAGTGATAAATACTCATACTCCGCCCAAGTAAAACAGAAACAAGCAACACTTAGTGGGCCAGCCAGAGGCTTAGGGCCCACGCAGGAATATCCCTGCAAAAAAAAAAAGAAAAAAACTGAGAAGTTTGTGGGTGGTTATCATGTCTACCCTTACTCTAATGTCTTCCAGGGACGTGAGGTTTAGCTCCCTTAGCCTTTCCTCGTAGCTCATACCTCTCGGTTCTGGGACTAGTTTGGTGGCATACCTCTGAATCGTTTCTAGCTTTGTCTTGTGTTTAACTAGGTATGGTCTCCAGGCTGCAGCTGCATTCTACAGGCTTGGTCTGACATAAGTGGTATACAAGGTCCTGAACGATTCCTTACACAAATTTCTAAAGGCGGTACTTATGTCGACCAGTCTAGCATATGCTGCTGTTGATATCCTTTTGATGTGGGCTTCTGGGGACAGGTTCGGTGTGATATCAACCCTCAGATCTCTCTCTCATATCTCTCTCTATTTAACGCCTGCAGAATTTCACCTCCCAGATGGTACCTTGTATTCAGCCTCTTGCTCCCTTCGCCAAATTTCATTGTTTTACACTTTCCTGAGTTGAACTTTAGTAGCCATTTTCTAGACCATTCCTCCAGTTTGTCCAGGTCATCCTGTAGTCTCAGTCTAACTTCATCTGTCTTGATTCTTCTCATAATTTTTGCATCATCAGTAAACATTGAGAGGAAGGCGTCTATACACTCTGGAAGATCGTTTACATATATTAGAAACAGGATGAGTCCAAGTACAGAGCCCCGTGGGACTCCACTGGTGACATCTCGCCACTCTGATGGCTCCCACCTCACAGTTACTCGCTGTTTCCTGTTGCTTAGATACTCCCTTATCCACTGGAGCACCTTACCTTTTACTCCTGCCTGTTGCTCCAACTTTTGTATCAGTCTTTTATGGGGAACTTTGTCAAAGGCTTTCTGACAGTTCAAGAAAATACAGTCTGCCTACCTTTCTCTTTATTGCCTAGTTTTTGTTGCTTGATCATAGAATTATATTAAGCCAGTGAGGCACGATTTACCACCTCTGAACCCATGCTGGTGGTGTGTTACAAAGCTATTTCTCTCCAGATGTTCTACGAGCCTTTTTCCTCATGATCTTCTCTATCACCTTGCATGGTATACAAGTTAGGGAAACTGGCCTGTAGTTCAGTGCCTCTTGCCTGTCACCCTTTTTGTATACTGGGACTACATTAGCTGTCTTCCGGGTTTCCGGTAGGTTTCCTGTTTCCAGTGACCTGTTATACACCATAGAGAGTGGCACATACAGTGCTTTTGCACCCTCTTTTATTTTCCATGGTGATATTCTATTAGGCCCAACAGCCTTTGTCACATTCAACTCCAACAGATTTCTTTTGACCTCATCACTGGTGAGCTCAAATTCCTCCAAGGTTGCTTGGTTTGCCTCCTCCTCATTTAGTGCAAGGGCTTCTCCTTATTCTATTGTGAAGACCTCCTGGAATCTCTTGTTGAGTTCTTCACACACCTTGTCATTCTCTGTGTATCTGTTCTTCCCATTTCTCAGTTTCATCACGTGTGTGTGTGTTTACTCACCTAGTTGTACTCACCTAGTTGTGCTTGCGGGGGTTGAGCTCTGGCTCTTTGGTTCCGCCTCTCAACCGTCAATCAGCAGGTGTACAGGTTCCTGAGCCTATTGGGCTCTATCATATCTACACTTGAAACTGTGTATGGAGTCAGCTTCCACCACATTACTTCCTAATGCATTCCATTTGTCAACCACTCTGACACTAAAAAAGTTCTTTCTAATATCTCTGTGGCTCATTTGGGCACTCAGTTTCCACCTGTGTCCCCTAGTGCGTGTGCCCCTTGTGTTAAACAGCCTGTCTTTATCAACCCTGTCGATTCCCTTGAGGATGTGTGTGTGTGTGTGTGTGTGTGTGTGTGTGTGTGTGTGTGTGTGTGTGTGTGTGTGTGTGTGTGTGTGTGTATGTGTGTGTGCGTGTGTGTGTGCATAGGAAAATACTTACCATACTATAATTTTCCTTAAAATTTATCTAGACACAAGTAAAATGTTAGTAATAAGATTGCATAAAAATATGACAATACTCAAATATATATATATATATATATATATATATATATATATATATATATATATATATATATATATATATATATATATATATATATATATATATATTAGTGTCTTCTTGAGTTGTAATTATGAATACCTAAGGGCTTTCTTTATTGTTAATTAATATATTTCATATGATTTTTTGCGTTAAGTACATTGTTTTCCAAAACATCCAATCAATTGGTAATGTTGATATGATTCATTGTGATTAGTCGATACGTAAGCAGTCACAAGCCATAATATGCCCTCTGCCACAAGGCAAAAAGTAAACCAATTAAAACATTGAGAAACATTCATTTACTGATTTGTAATTGACTCGAAATTGGTCCTAACTCATCAAACTGTACCCAAATGATTGGAATGCTTTGTAAGCAATATAACTATGCATTGAGGGGGGGAGGGGATAATTTCTCTCGACTGTAACCCGTGTTTAGGCTCTGTAGTCACAACGGTGGACCAGTTACCACTATTTCCGTCTCGCGTAAGTGATATTTTTCTCTGCTTGAGTTGTCAACACGTGATATTCTTAAGTTTGTGCCCTCGTGCAGTTTGTTCTTTAGAAGAAACAAAATGATCTTCCACGTAAGAATAAATGTCTTGAAATAATACTGAGATATTGGGATCGAACCTGCGTCCCTAGACTCCCCAGGCCCACGCAGAACCGACTGAACTATTAATACATACTTTATTGTGACGGTGTGTGTTTAATGTTAAACAGTGTGTAAAAACAAGCCAAAATCCTCTGTTTTGATTTTCAATTAAAATGTGCTGGAACCAGATATATATATATATATATATATATATATATATATATATATATATATATATATATATATATATATATATATATATATATATATATATATACATAATATATAATATAGCAAATATTGAAGTTGTTGGTAAGCATTTATTCCTCAGTGGGAGAGTAGTTTTTGGAACAGATTTTGGAAATTCTTAACATAAACTTTTAAGATGCCATTATTTGAAAGTTGTATAGTACATATGTAGTAATATTCCTTGTGTAGTTATGATAATAGATGCCTCTGTGTGTGTGTCTGTGTGGTAGAAGTTTAACTTGTGGGTGCCCTATCATGATTAACCCTTATCCTGCTATAAACGTTAATAAGCATTTCTT